AATTATGTACCATTTGACCTGTTGATGCCATGTCACATAATGTAGTCAGTGCACAATAATCGAGCTCAGGAATGAAAGTCCTAGCCACTAGAAATCCATGGAGTTCCACCTTAAAACCAATTGGCAATGAGGTAAGTAGCTCGTGGAGCTTATATATTGATAATCAGAGTCTTCCAATACCGATGTGAGATTGAGACTCTTTAATATTCCCCCACAAGCCCAACATATTTTTTGAGTTTGGCTTATCCTATTTTTCCAGTCTAGGCACCGCCTCACGTCTCAGCCCTATTTTTTTGTTGGGCTTTTTGGAGTCCGAATGTCGGCAGACTGGCTCTGATACCAACTAGAAGTTCATGGGGTTCCATCTCAAAACCAATTGACAATGAGAGAAATAGCCCGTGGAGCTTATATATTGATAATCAGAGTCTCCCAATACTGATGTGGGATTGAGACTCTTTAATACTAGCAAGCGTTTGAGCTCAGGAATTAAAGCTTGTTGAGGTTTTGAGGTTTTGATCAATCGTAAAAAATATTTCTTCTGTCCCACAATTATTATCCAGTTTTGATTCTCATTTTTTGTATAATTTGTACTGAAAGTAAAATATCAAACTGAACAATAATTTTCCCGTTATTAAATCCGTGTTCTTCGTCATCTAAATGGCGAGCCCGGAAGAGGAGGAGATCCAGAAAATCATTCAGCGAAGTTATAAGACGATTTGCGCTTGGGGTCCCTCAACCTTCACCCTTTGTTGTCTGTGTTTCGAAAATTAAATTTAGGGTTTTGATTTTTGCTAATCTTTGGGAACATCTCGTTAATGAAACGATTGAGTTATTATTAATTTAGATTCTCACGTAATGCCCTATTTCCCTTCGCCATATAAATTAGGGTTCTGGGGTTCTGTCTGATACTCTGATTGTTTAATCCCTTTGCCAAATTATATATAACTTTTACTTTGAAATTGATTTTTTTTCTATCATTTACGATAGTTACAGTTACAACATGATCAAGTCCTCTAATATTTAGCCGATTTTCCAAAGTCCTTGTGTAGCTAAATAACTATTCAAAATAGTGTTTTTAGTTTAAAAATGCTCATTGATGCGAGGGAGGAAAAAAGTAAATTTGTGAAAACATTTTCAGGCAATAAGTTTGTAAATTTATAAACACATTTTACATTAATTATTTCAAAATCAGAGTGGCGCAGCAAAAGCGTGGTCGGCCCATAACCCACAGGTTACAGGATCGAAATCTGTCTCTGATATAATTTTTTTGATAATCTTCCAATTGTTTTTTTTACTCCTAACCAATCGATCTTCTGCAGTTTCTTTTTATTTTTTTCATAAAAATCTTCTGCAATTTTTTATAATTGAATAAATATGAAATAAGTTGATCATAGTTCTTCAACAAATTATCCCTCCCGCTTCTTCAGCTAATTCAATCCACCAATTGAATTTTTTTTTATTTTTATTTTTTGTAATTTCGAACATAATCTACAATATTATCCAAAAAACTGGAACTTATATTATTCTAAAACAAAAAATTTAAGGTTTCACCATAAAAATGTAGTTTTTTTTTTCCCCCGAACTCTGATGTAAAGGTAGTGGATTAAATTTTGAAGTTGAAATGAAATTTACCATTTACCAAAAAAAAAGTGTGGTTTTTCTTCTTCTCCCCACAAATTTCTAAATTATAAAAGTTACTGTGGTTTTCCTTTTCTTGTCTCTGAATTTTTAAAGCACACATACTGCTTTAGTTAACACATATACTTTTACCGTAATAAATTTTTTGTTAAAATCATAATTCTTGAAGGCCCAAATATAGCACATGGGGTATATATGTTGAGTTCAAGAGTATCCATTCATCCATGTGGGACAAGGGAACATGAGGTAATTTCTTTCTTTTCATTCATTTAACACGCCCCTCTCAAGCCCAATGGCTTGGACGAGAAATTTTATATATATTTTTTCTGATTTTTTTTTCTTAGTCTTGCGATCGGTTAATTTCTCGGATAAACCGTAGCCTGCTGGGCCAGTCAAAGTTCAAAGTCAAACTCTGGATTTCTTCCTTGGGTTGACCAAAGTTTCAAGACCCAATCTGAGTCAGTCCACCTCGCCCCACAAGTCCCACAGATCCGCAGATTAAACCCGCTCTGATACCATCTTGAAGGCCCAAAGATAGACCCACATGTGGTTCCGCCTCAAACCAATTGGCAATAAGGGGAGTAGCACATAGGGTATATATATTGAGTTCAAGAGTCTCCATCCATCCATATAGGACAAGGAAATATTAGGTAATTTCTTTCTTTTCCTTCATTTAACAATAATCATAATCGATTCCGGTGTTTAAAGATTTCTTTAACAAGGCCGATATTCATCGAGTCTTACTATATACCCTTTTGCAAGGAATTGCCAACCATTCACCAACTTAATTACAACCGTAAAACTGTTCAAATAAGCCTTTGAAACATGATATGCGCCATCTCTTTTTTTCTTTAGATGATTATGGACTAAATAAATTCATTCCTTATAAATTATTTCTCAATTTATTATTTTTCTTCAAGATACAACAGATATTTATCTATAGTACTTAATTAAAGCAGCAAACAAAAAGGACATGTGTCAGCACCACAATGAAAATTTTTCCGTCAAAAGTCATTTTCAGTACAAAATCATTTTTGACACGTGACACTCTAACTAATCAAAAAAAAAAAAGATAGAATAGATAAATACATAAATCCATTAATTATAGCTACATAAAAATATCTTAATTATAAGTATATACTAATCCCTTAAAACAACAATATTTAGTTGATAAAATCAAATGTAAGGAAATTCCCTTTAAATCAAGTGAAACACTAGTAATGTCTTCCTAATACCTAATTTCAAAGAATTTCTTCCATTCCGCTCCTCTCTCATACTCGAGCCTTTAAATCAATTACTTAAAATCTGACATCAATTATTAATTCATTTCTTTCTACAACAGAAAAAAATAAGCTGTCATTAAAGAACTTTTATTTTTTAAGGATGTTTTTTTTTATTCTTCTGTTGTAGATATTGGTCTATGATTTATGTAAACCCGGGCATAAGTTTACTGTTATAAATTAAATGTTGTAAATATGAGCATAGATTTATGTGTAATAACTCACTTTCTGTCCTTTAAATCGATTTTTTATTCTTCTAATTTTTTTTATTCTTTTAAGAATGAATCGTATGTTTTATTTAATCAATTTAAAGATACAGGTGACACCTCGGGCATTCACCCGGGGCAAGCATCTAGTTAACTTTATTATGACAAAAATGCAATACTTATTAATATGTTTTTATTAGTAATTAAATAAAAAATCAAGTAAAAGTACGTCTATATCATGAAACCACGACGCCATAATATACTTGCTAAAAAATCTCCGATCCAAGAATTTAAATAGGTCTGATTCTCACCAAAACCAAAAAAAAAGAAAAGAAGAAGAAGAAAAGAAAAGAAGAGAACGACAAAAAGAGAAGGAAAAGGAATAGTGATTACAAATACCGAATAGGCAAAGGAATTCCTATGATTTGTTTCCTTCTTCGACTGCCCCACTTTTCTATATAAACCGGCCTCCTAGTGTTCTTTTCGAGTCCGTATCCAGTGCATCCGGGTGTACCGTATACCTCCCATCAAACACACGCGCACCACGCGCTCAACTGTTTTTACCTTTACATTAAATGCACACAGAAAATTGTTTTCATCCATTTCATCCTCACGCATAAACACACACAAAGACACAGTTAACGGAAACTCTCCATTTTAGAGCAAATACAAAATTGACCCCACCACAAAATTACACAAAATCGACGAAAAACCTACGCTGGAAGACAATTTTGATAACTTCATCTTCTCCTGCTTTTTTTTCATTTTGTCAATTTGTTCTTTCACAAACACACACACACACACACACAGACGACGGCGAGAAACCCTACGTCCGGCCATCTCAAGCTCTCCTTCATCTATACATGCTTCACTGGTAAGTATATTACTCCGGGATCCTATTTTTTTTATTATCCAGCGATATTTTGTGTGTATCCACTAGATCTGAACTAGTTATCCATGGTTTCCTGCGTATGCTATGTGATGGTTGTCCATGCCATAATATCTGGTTATCCATCTATTTCATACTGGTTATCCACATAGCATATTTGTTATCCACCTATTTCATTCTGGTTATCCACAAGTTGTAAACTGGTTATCCATGCTTTTTTTACATTTGATTCTATGTGGCATGGACAAACTGAACTGGTTATCTATCTTTTTGTGTTTTTTTGTTACTGGTTTAGGGTTTAGGGTTTAGGGTTTAGGGGTGCTTGTCTGAAGTTTGTTTCTGGTTATCCATCCATTTTATACTGGTTATCCACAGGGTGTAAACTGGTTATCCATTTTTTTTTAGCTGTGCTTTTATGTGGCTACATGTCCATACATTATTTGCTGGTTATCCACCCATTTCATACTGGTTATCCACGCTTTTTTTTACATTTGATTCTATGTGGCATGGACAAACTGAACTGGTTATCCAAGTTTTCCTGCGTGTGTGCTATGGGGTGCTTGTCCAAACTTTGTTTCTGGTTATCCACCCATTTTATCTTGGTTATCTGCAGTGAGTAAACTGGTTATCCATTGTTTTTTTTAGATGTTCTTTTATGTGGCTACATGTCCATACATTATTTGCTGGTTATCCACCCATTTCATACTGGTTACTCCTTTTTTTATTACTGCTCATTTTCATATCTTGCTATTTTTTCCACTGACTTCTTAGTGATTGTCCAGTGCCCTAAAGGAGGCTAGAACAAAATATAGGCACGAGTGGATCAGCGCAAGCCACGACCTCAACTGCAACCCAGACAGATCACCGGATCCTGAACCAGAGAAAATAATGGAGCTCCCTGAAGGAACACTGACCATATTTAAAAATCAAAAATCAACCTAAGAAGAACAGTCCCCTGTTCAAAGTCCAAAGCCCCACAACTTGTGGATGAAACCAAAGAGGAAGAAGAGCACACTGAAAGGAAATCCAAAGCAACTTGTGGTTGCTGATGACAATGACTCAGCTGATGAGAATGATAAAAAGCCCAAAAAGAAAAGAATGAAACCTGAGAACAACAAACTGATGATTGCTCAAGATCCACAGCCAATCAGTTCTGAAGATTCTGTCAAGAAATTTGAGACCAGGATGACACCAAACCATCTCTTCCAACTCATCACCGAAATCAATAAACCAACAGATCTTAAGGAAGAGCCAGATGCGGTAGATTATCGCCAACTACAAAGGCAGGGTATAAGAGATATTAGATTTGGCGCCTTGCTGGATCTCAAAATCAAAAATATTCCAACAACTTTATGTAGTTTTCTGGCAAACAATTTCCAGACCGGTGCGAGACAAGTCCCATTGAATGGGAACAATGTACTGGATATCAAACATGAAGATATTGTTGTTGTACTTGATCTTCCTCGTGGACCCAAACCAGTGGAGGAATTCAAACAGAATGATCCCGCTATAACGGACCACGCTGAGATGGTGGATGCATTCAAGAAAAGAATGGGATACGGTAATAAATTCCTACCAACGAGATCCACCGCGGCACAATTAATTGCTGGTCAAAAAGATTTTAGTGATGACTTCAAACGAGATTTCCGGGTCTTCGTTGTGAGCACATTCCTACATGGAAATACCACTTTCAGGATCACAATGAACATCCTGAAGTCCCTCGTGAACATCAATGAAGTGATACAATACAATTAGTGTCAATATGTGATTGATGCACTGGTGAAAGGATGCAAAAGTCACCACAATGGGAAACCATTCACTGGACCAATCACTTTTTTCCTGGTACTTACCATATCCATACAAATTTTACTAGTTATCCATATTGCTTGCAATATTTATCCAATTTGCTTGTACTGATATCATTAACACCAACTTTTTTCTTTTTTTTTTTTTTGTTAGTTGTGCTACCTTGACAGGTGTGAGTATGAGAGAGCACATCCGAGGTCATTCCCTGTGATCAAATCTTGGGACCAAAAGATGCTGGAACTTCAGGGAAGCAATTTCACAGATGTCCAGACACTTGAACGTCTCAAGAAACCCTCCTTAGCAGCATCCCGAGATGAACAACCAGAGGCGGAATCACAAGAGGATACACAGGGAAACCCCAACACACAGCAAGTCTATGTAGTGTTCTACCATTTTTTTTTTCAGATCAAGCTTACGTATCCAACCTAGCATCTCCACATTCCACTAACTACATTCACTTTTGCAAGACCTTGCTGCTCTTTATGAAAAATTCTACCAATTGATTATCACGATGAGCAAAACTGTTTTAGACATTCGTGAGAAGGAAATGGAGTTAAAAATCAAACCAGATGAACAAGCAAAGCAAACAATCAAGATCCTAACAGATGCAATGGTGTCGATGAGTAGAAAGATGCCTCCGCCTTCAGGTAGAACGCAACAGGAACAAGAGCAGCAGCAAGACCAGCAAGACCTCCAGGATGCACAAATTTGTGAATTGTGCGAGATGGCATGGAAGTCCGCTGAAAGCAGATTTGCAACAATCATAGAATAGCTGCAACGACAAGTAGCTGACTAACAACAACAACAACAACAACACCAACAAACTGATGAAAACACTGTACAAGTTCCAATTAATCCCACAAATTTTCAAGACATTAAAATTGACAAAGCACAGGGACTGAAGCAATTGAGCCAGACAAATGATGAGGCTTCTCTTCCAGTGGGGAAATCCGTGCCTACTTCAAAAGAAGTGGTGGTTGATGAACAACAAACTCAACCACAAGGGGCACAGGGACTGGATCAATTGAGCCAGACAAATGATGAGGAGCTTCTCTTCCAGTGGGGAAATCCGTGCCTATTTCAAAAGAAGTGGTGGTTGATGAACAACAAACTCAACCACAAGGGGCACAGGGACTGGATCAATTGAGCCAGACAAATGATGAGGCTTCTCTTCCAGTGGGGAAATCCGTGCCTACTTCAAAAGAAGTGGTGGTTGATGAACAACAAACTCAACCACAAGGTAATGAATATTTTTTTAATGAAACAAATACTTGTCTGAGGTGATTGTACTTGTCATCCAACTAATTTGTACTGCTTATCCAACCCCTTTTTTTCCCTTTAAATGGTTTTCCATTGTGTTCCTGCCGATTATCCAGCCTATTTGAACTGATTATCCACTTCGTTTGAACTGGTTATCCAATCTGTCTAATTTGTACTGCTTATCCAACCCCATTTTTCCCTTTAAATGGTTATCCATTGTGTTCCTGCCGATTATCTAGCCTGTTTGAACTGATTATCCACTTCGTTTGAACTGGTTATCCAATGTGTCTAATATATATGTATGTTCGTACTGATTATCCAACATTCCAACTTTGTACTGCAGCACATGGAACGAATATCTCCACAACAGAAAAGAAGAGATCCCATCAAGATTCCACCGGCCGGAATTCAGGTGTGACATCCACCTATACCAAAAGGTCGAGAACCATTGGTACCAGGAAAAGGAAAGTATTCAAAGACCCAACTATCCCACACTTCAACCTGGGTATCTTCTCCAGTCAGGAAGACAGTTACGAGATAACCCAAGAGAAGAACACTGAGGAAGATATCACAGGAAGTGTTGATTTGGATAAAGATGTCAATGAGACTATAAAAGTAGAAGAATATCCAGTACCATCTGCACTCGACGAAAAAAAGAATCCCACTCCTTCCATCGATGAAATCATAAGAAGGGCCAGTGCACCAGCTTCAGAACCATTAAGTGATACCAAAAAACTAGAGATGATTGTCGCTGCTGCAGAACAAGTTGAGAAGAACTCAAAGGTGGTTGAAGCAGTCCCTTTAAGCATAATTCCACCCGATTGGAATATTACTTCTACCACGGGCAATCTATTGATGCTGGAAAAAAATGAGTGTACCACGCCACCGCCTGCAATCTCAAAGAAAGCTGATGAGCTTGATGAAGAGTTAACAAAGACAATGGAAAAGTAAGTTTGATCCATTGTGACTCCTCACTACAAAATAGAAAGACGAATTTACATACTAACTCTCTTTTGTTTTGTCCTAGGATCCTCAATGAAAAACCTAAGAGGAGAAATCCACCAAGAGTCCACCGGTTGCCCGAATGGGTCAGATCGCCGTTCATGCTGCAGAAGAAAAACAAGAAAAAATTCATACAGTGGACAAAGGAGAAGAAGAAAATGACCCAAGAAGAAGCCCTGTTGATAGACTTCGCTCTCTTGCAGAGACAAGAAGAAATAGTTAAATCAGGGTAAAAGTCACCTTCCTTACTAGTGGGATAAAAAACTTACCAGTTTTCCAACTATTTGTCTATTTGACTACTTTTTCTATGCATGAATTTCTTGTTTGAATTTGGACAAATCGTTTGGGCAGACAGGACAGCATTCTATTCCATGAAGGAAGGGACATGGATAGAAAACAGCATCATAGATGCTTGGGCTGTCATCCTAAACAAAGAAGAAGCTAAGAGTGACTCCCCAAGACGGATATTCTTTGGTGTTTCCTCATTTGTAAGTCAACTAAACCCTTATTGTTTATCCCGCCCTGGTAAAATACTTGTCACATGTCTGCAAGTTGTTTATCCAAAGGCTTTCTACTAGTTATCCAGCCATAACGTGTGGTTATCCAGAATGTGTAAACTAGTTATCCAGCCATAATTGCTGGTTATCCAGAATGTGTAAACTAGTTATCCGGCCATAATTGCTGGTTATCCACAATGTGTAAACTAGTTATCCATGCCTTTTTTTAGTTGTGCTTCTATGCGGCTGCTTGTCCATACATTATTTGCTGGTTATCCGTCATTGTTGTATAACTTACCTACCTATAACTAATTATCAGGAAGATCATGCATGACCACTAACACTTATTATCCAATTTGTTACTAATGCTTGTCCACCAGAGTTGAGCTGGTTATCCAAGCCTTCTCCGTGGTGGCTTGTCCATGATTCATTTGCTGGTTATCCATCTGAACTGGTTAACCATTCCTTCTTGTTTGTCATCTAGGGTACTTTTGGTTGACCTTGTATGTGCTTGATTCCGATCATTGTTTTCTACTGCATTTTTCAACCATTGTACTGATCATTGTATCATTTTCCAACCACCTCAAACAATAACACAGGATACACTCATCCATACAATCAACTGGGCAATAACAAAGAGGAAATAGAGTTCACATTCTATGAGAGGTTGGCTATTGAACTAGAAGAACAAGGCCTCAGTGTAGCATCCCTGATAGCGGCAAAAGCTGTAAGCAACATCTTTCACCTCCTTCACTATTTCTATAACTGGCTGTTAAAAAATTTTCATATGATTTCCCCCTTTAATGTGAAAAATCAGATCTACTTCCCAGTACACTACCGACACCATTACTTCTTGTATGTGTTGCTGGTTGAAGAAAAGAAAGTGCTTGTCCTCAACAACATTCATGCAAAAGATCTGGACTACTACAAGCCAACAAAAGATCTACTTCTGAGTGAAAAAAAGATACAAAATGATTGTCATAGTTTAAAAATTATCCGTTGCATTTTGCTGATCCTTGGATTTTATGGCATCACAGTTTCGGTTCTTCCAAAGCTATGTTGAATGCGTGTTTCCACGCATAGAACTGGTCAGTGCTCAGTACACCTTGACAGAGGTTACGCTACCATCGCATAAGGACAAAACGCCGAATGCGGAAGATTGTGGAATATACACAATGCACCACATGGAGCGGTATGATGGTGGTGAGTATGAGGATGGTACTACTTTGGATTTCAACAAAGGGAACATCAAAGAGTACCGGTGGAAATACATGATAAAAATCCTTATGCACCCAGCCAACAAAAATAAGGACAAAATCCTCGAAGCAATGCACCAGTTCTATACAAATACTGCTGAAGAAGAACAAAAAGAAATTCCAGATCATGTTGATTTGAGCAGCAAATCTTACTACAATGACAGAAAAATTCAGGGATGGGTTAAATGAAATGTCATTATGTTCTCTTGTATAATTGATTGACTGTTGATCCTAAAGTGTTTGATATCCAACAGCTGTTTACTGGCCATCCTAGTATATTACCCAACCGTTTGTAATGGTTATCCAGGATCTTTCTACTAGTTATCCAACTTGTTACACCTGATTATCCAAATTTTTTATAGTGATTATCTAGTCCAAAAAAAATGTAAGTACATTCTTTAACCTGATTATCCAAAAAGACATAACATAAGAAAATAACAAGACAATGTATTTTGGTTGTCCAAATATTTCTGTAAATTCTCAAACAACAAAAACTGAGTGTCCCAATTTCTTGGTCTTTCTACGTCTTTATTAAACTGCTTATCCTATGATGTTATCCTGCTTATCCAATACTTCTTTGCTGATCATTCAATACTCTGTATTGCTTATCCGGGACTTTTGTACTGGTTATTCAGCCAATGTGCAGCAACATCCAACCGTTTGTAATGGTTATCCAGGATCTTTGTACTAGTTATCCAACTTATTACACCTGATTTTCCAAATGTGTTATAGTGATTATCCAGTAAAAAAAAAAATACAAGTACAGTCTTTACCCTGATTATCCATGAGTTTATACTTGTTATCCAAAACCTCAATACTACTTATCCATATGTAACCAATGCCTATCCACATGTGGACATAACAAAACAAGGATTCAGAGAGGGCTTCCAAAAAGACAAAACAAAAGAAAATATCCATAAGAAAATGGCTATCCAAACGGCATATTCATTGGGGGGCTTCGCCCCCCATGATAAACTAAACGACTCCTGCGGCTACCAGGATCGCAGGTCACCAACCTGCCCAAGCTGCGCTGCCCCGCCGAACACACTAATGTAGCTAAGGTAATCCTTTTTTCGTGTGTGTGTAAGGAGAGTGTGTGTGTGAAGGAGAGTGTGTTATTGCGTTAAGAGGGGACACAAATTACTTGTATAAATCCCCCCGTGATAAACTAAACGACCCGGCTGCGCCGCCCCCATGCCGAACATGGCAAATTTCATAAACAGTATTTAAAAAAGAATGAGGGGAAGTTTGCCAAATGATGGAGAACAAAAAATGAATGTGGGGCAGACCGTCTGACTTAACTCGTGGGCCAAACCCGACCCGGGAATGCGACCCGCTTCAGAATCCCGCCCAAATTTTGGCAAACCTGCCCCATTAGTGCACACATTTTCCAAACGGCGGCCGAACAATCATAATTGTCCCTTAGAATCCATCCGAAAACGTCATTCAATCATAATTGAGTGTGTGGGATAGAGAGAAAGGAAAAGGGTTTGCTTTTTATGTTGTACCATTCAACCATTCACCTACTCCCTCCCTTTTTATGAATATAAAATTCACTTTGTTTTTATTCTTTATGAAAAATACTTGTCCATAGTGTCAACACTAGTTATCCAGCTATGTTTAACTGGTTATCCATAGTGGGAACACTGGTTATCCACTATGTCCATACTGGTTATCCACAGTGTGGAGCATGTTACTCTGTATAACTGAAAAGCCACACGTTTTGTAATTAAATAGAATTTAAAAGATTGAGGGAGTAAAATTAAAAAAAGAAAACTGAAAAGGCTCATGTTTGTGCAGAGTACATCCATCATGATCTAATGGGTAGTTACAGAGCCACACGTTTTTACATGCAATGGATTGAATAAGGAGGATCAGTTACATAACTGTCATTAAATGAGTTTCTTGATTATAACAATGACGGTTAATGAATAGAGAGTGAGAAGACACTGATTTGTGAAAAAAGATAGGATTGCATGGGTAGTTAATCCGTCAAACTACCTCTGTATAAATTACCTCATCTCCGCATACGGCATTTCTATATAACTCCCTGACATCTCCACATAAAGCATTTCTATAAAACTCCCTTATCTGCGCATATACCAGAACGCCTGATTTGAGCATCCAAAACATCCAACAATCAGAAAAAAATAAAAAACGAAAAAATTTCCTCAAATTCCACAACCAAACAAATGTCCCCCAGCCAAGAAAAGCAAGAAAAGAACAACTACCCTGAATATATCCATCACGATATGCTTGATAATATGTTCATTAATCTGTCACTGGAAAAGATTGGTGAGTTCCGTCGTGTTAGCAAAGCTTGGGAACAAATGACGAAAAGACAAGAATTTGTTCTTCAAAAACGTGAGATGAGCTACCCTGCAACTGAAAACAACATCCTTGTTTTCACTCAAACAAGCCAAGAAGGTCACCTGTTGCAAGACAAACAAATCGCCACCAAAATAAAAGTGCAAATGGATTACCCATGCAACCACATACGATTGCAAGAAGAGATGTCAATGGGTGACGACGGCATCCACAAAATCATGTCTATCACCACAGATTTGGTCTATCTGCAAACCAGGTCTCAAATCAAATTCTTGAACCCAAAGACAACACAACTTGCATCAATTGAATGGCCATATGATGTCCCTCTCAGCAATTGTGAAACAGCATTTGGCTACGTATCATCCTCAAATACTTACGTTTTCATGGCCCTTATTGCCGATGGAAAAAACATGCAAGGCTGCATTTTTTCTTTTCAAAGTTGTTCAAGTATTCATAAAGGAGAATGGAAAACACTTTGCAATGTATGTCCTTACCTTGTATCTGATGGAACCTGGTTTGATAGATTCGTGTACTGGCGTGCAGACAAACTATCCTCTGAAATAGCAACAACTCAAGAGTTGCTGGTCGTGTTTGACTACCACACTCAACAATTCCAAACCATAAACTGCCCTCCATCTCCAATCTTCTTTAACCCCACTGATCCTTCTCATATGAATCTCCATGTGAAAATATTGGACTTCCAGGGGACTTTGTGTCTAATAGATGAGTACCACATTACTCAGAATCATCACTGTCAGATGTGGGCATGGGACCAAGATACTTCCACATGGGATTGCATGTTTGAGACCCATGAATTCCCAAATGTGAACACACACGTTCCACACGGATTACATTTCCGTCATGATTGGCTTTATCCAGTGTTTCTAAGCCACAAATCATCTCCAGCGGGACAGTCCATTGTCAAAGGATACGATAATCGACATTTGTTGTTGTATAGTGTTCCTACCAGGAAAATCACACACTCAAGTACATCGCCGGATCTAGAAACCAGTTACATCATTAAACCTTGTTACTTCTGGGAGACATTAACACACTTTTAGGATTTTCTTTTTTTTTTAAAAAAAATTATCTTTCCCTTGTTAACTTAATACTGGTTATCCCAGGACTTTGTACTAATTATCCAGATTATCTATGCTGGTTATCCAATGATATTATTTTTGAAGAAAGCGTGTTCAACGTGTTCATGTCTTTTTTGTAATATCTGTATGCATTTAAAGTTGCATATCCGGTACAGGCGATTCGAATATCCAGTATAGACGAGTTGGATATCCAGTACAAACGAAATGGATATCCAGTACAAACAAGTTCGATAGGCATACAAACCAAATGGGTGGATATCCAGTACAAACAACTTGGATAACCAGTTCAAACTGGTTGGATAATCACCATGAACACAACGGATAACCAATTTAAAATAACCACTTGGATAACCAGTACAAACAAAATGGATAACCAGTTCAAACTGGCTGTATAATACTGCAATTTAAAATAAATAATACTTTTTAAATAAAAATCTTTACACCATCAATACTGTTCATTTCAACATCAAGTAAAAATACTAATAAAACATCTTGTTGAAGAAACGCTACGCTCCAGCCTCCCCGGCAGCTTCCCTTCAGTTAGGAAATGAGAAACCACCAAAGTTTTGATTCACGAATGTCATGTTTTGATGAGAAGCATTCACAGCAGCGGAAGTGCTTGCGCCTTGAAACTCCTGGCCAGCTCCCTTGGGAATTGGAAATGAGAATCCACCGGAATTTTGGTTGATGAATGGCATGCTTTGATCAGAAGCATTCACAGAAATGGAAGCCCCTGCCCCTGAAAAATCCTAGACAGCTATACTTGAATTAGTAAATGAGAATCCACCAGAATTTACGTTCAAAGATGGCATGCTTTGATGGGAAGCATTCACAGCAGCAAAACTTCCTGAGCCTGAAAAATCTTGAGCAGCTCCTTTTGGATAAGGAAATGGCATGCTTTGATAATGCAGGTCTGATGCAACTTAAGCTTTTGTTCGGTCAGCAGCAATTCTTGCATTTGTTTTCCTGCCTCTGACTTTGCCTTCTCAACAATGCTTTTAGGACGTTCGTTCCTGGGACCAAACTTCTTCCTCTGTACAGCCGAATTCTTTATAACACCATCATTGTCTACAGACTCATCATTATTATTTGAACCAATGAAACTGCCGAGTTCTTCTTTAAGCCTATCAACTGCCTCGTCGCAACATTTCTTTGCATCTTTGTTATATTCACTTGCATACACCAAGTCTGAAAATCGTCTCATAATTAGTGCCTTCCACAGCAATGGCCCAGCAGCTTTTCCATCTCCCTCATTAGCTATGCTTGACCTGGCACCATAACCTTTTGTCCATCTCATACATATATAATCTTTAGGAAACTCATCAACAGAGGTTACATGACAGATTCGAAGAATGTGGCAACAAAGCATGCCCGCCTCAGAGTAGTACCTGCACGTGCATGACAATCTCTGTAACCTAGTGTCATGTACAACCACATGCTTAAAGTGCTCTATCCCAGACCGCCAAACATTGTACGTCACAATATTGCCATCATTTGAGACCTCTAACTGCTCCTGCCTGTACAACATCCCATCTTTGTGCAACTGCTAAACCTCCCGAAATGCTTCAACTGTGTACACTCTGCGAATGCTCTCCAGGAAAGGGTCACCAGGAAGATATGAATCGATGTTTCCCTGGCTACAGCGTAGATCTTCACCCCTCACAGCTACCCGCCAACAGTGTACAACATCAGAGAAAATTCCATGGAAATCACAAAGCGATGATGTGGCCTTCATTTTACGACAAATTGCATTATTTGTTGACTCGCTCCTCTGTGAAGACAAGGTACCACCAGAAAAAACATCTTTGCTAAATACAGGGCACCACATATGCCTCACGTCATAAATACCATTGAGCCATTTGTCATCATGACAATCATACTCATCCAATAATCTGTGCACAACAATATAAAACACATACATAAAAAGAAAAATAGTTAGATTATCCATATAGTTATCCAGCTAGCAAAGGATTTCTACTAGTTATCCAGCCATAACGGGTGGTTATCCAGAATGTGTAAACTACTTATCCAGAGATAATTGCTGGTTATCCACAATGTGTAAACTAGTTATCCAGCCGTAACGGGTGGTTATCCAGAATGTGTAAACTAGTTATCCAGCCATAATTGCTGGTTATCCAGAATGTGTAAACTAGTTATCCAGTAATCATTTACAGATTATCCAAAACATGGAACTGTCTATCCATCAGTAACCCCTTTAAACCCCTGCAATAATTCCGTAATGCTTATACAAAGGCTTTCTACTAGTTATCCAGCCATAACGGGTGGTTGTCCAGAGATAATTGTTGGTTATCCACAATGCGTAACCTAGTTATCCAACCATAACGGGTGGTTATCTAGAATGTGTAAACTAGTTATCCAGCCATAATTGCTGGTTATCCAGATCTGTAAACGAGTTATCCAACCATAACAGGTGGTTATCCACAATCTGTAAACTAGTTATCCATGCCTTTTTTTAGTTGTGCTTCTATGCGGCTGCTTGTCCATACATTATTTGCTGGTTATCCATCATAGTTGTATAACTTACCTACCTATAAGTAATCATCAGGAAGATCATGCATGACCACTAACACATACCCACACAACAAAAAAAATAAGAGACACTCTTAATCATGGCAATGATCAAAATAATAATAAAAATATTGACAAATTGACCTCCTCCATAATACCTCGAACTTGATTTCTGTTGAAGTGTATTTCATCAGATAATTAAAGTTCTTAACAAAATCTGACTTGTTCCTTAAATGACCAATTCGCTTTCTTGAATTTTCACCTATGTGCCATACATAGAGACGATGCCGAGAACTTGGAAAACATGTCCGAATACTTGCAGCAATGGAAGGTGCTTGATCTGTCATTATGGTTTGTGGCTGCTTATCTCCCATTGATTTCAAAAACTGCTTGAACAACCAATCAAAAGAGGGTTCTTTCTCGTTTAACACAAAACCAAAACCAAACATGACATTCTTGTTATGATTATCCATACCCACAAACGGAGCACAGATCATTCCATATCTGTTTGTTCGATACGTTGTATCAAACACAAGCAAGTCACCAAACAAATCATAATCCTTTCGCATTCTGCCATCCCCCCAGAAGAAAATATACAGCCTACCCTGTTCATCACAGTCAAAATCAAAGAAGAAATCTTCTTCAGCTTCCTTCCTGTTCCAAAAAATCTTCATGAGCTGATTACAATCGCCACCTTCAAATCCAACACCAGGACGCTCATAATTGTAGGTATCTCTCAAAGTATACTTCATGTTCGGACTTCCCCCGTGTAATTTTGCCACAAACTTAAATGCATCAACCAAAGGGATGTCACTCCTTGTCATGTCTCTGATTATCTTCATATCATTTTCATCTACTTCACGTTGAGATCGAAGAAGTCCAATCATTTCATTCGGCACAAGATCATGATTGTGATCAACCAGATGTTTTGTACAGGTCCACAAGCCATCTTTGTCAACAGTAAAATGGATATAACCTGGACACCCATACCGAAAATTAATCCTCTCATGGCACACATCACCATTTTCACCGAATCTCTTGTATCCTTCGCGCTTACAACAAAATTTCTTCATCCTAACTTTATCAGTCTTACCTCTAAACTTCTGTTTTCCCACTCTCACACTAAAACCAATCAATCGGGCATGATCATTATACAAATCATAAGCTTCTTTCTCACTTCTTGCAGTCTTGCCAACTAAAGTAAAAACAGCCAAATCATTATTCTTCGTCACAGATGAAATTTCCTTGTGCAAGGCATCCTCCTCCACCATCACATTATCAACTCCCAATTCATTACCGCTATTATCTTCTCCACATTCTGATAAAAACAAAAGAGATGGTTGGATAACCATTACCATGTGGTCGGATAATCAGTATTAACACAATGGATAAACAAATCAAAAAAAAATTTAAACACATATAAGTTAGAAAACCTACCCTTCAGAGCAGATGTAACTTCCATGCGCAAAGCATCATCCAGCATCACATCATCCCCCAACTCATTGATATGGTTATCTTTTACAAAAAATGAGACAAACAGAAAAACAAAAAATTCAAAAATGTTGGATATCCAGTACAAATCAGTTGGATATCTAGCAAATAAAATTTGGATACGCATGTAAATCAGTTGGATAACCAATAGACATAAGCTGGATATCCAGCACAAACATGTTGGATATCCAGTACAAACATTTTGGATATCCAACACAGAATAACTGATTATCCACTTCATACAACATTAACAAAAACAGAACTGTGAAAAAACTTGATTGATTACAGTACACTCTGAAACCTACACAAACCTGATTCCAGCTGATCTACAACAGAACTGTGACCTTCTGTTGATTTGCTGGCACAGTAAGATTATTCGATGGATTTGCTACCACTACATTCCGCATTCATCAAACCGGAATCATCAATGACATAACTCATCACTCGATCCGAACTCAGCATATCATCGATCCAATCACCGTTTCGCAACTCTGGTAGAATCGGAGCCTTTCCTCGATCGCTGAACGTCGTCGCCGTCTCAACAACTTGATCGCCGCCGGCCGTGTCCACCTCAACACCTCGATCGCCGCCGGCCATCGCCCATCAATAATACTCTATCACAAAGTTTTCCAAAATTTGAATGAATTCGGTTATTTATATAACCCCGCGTTTAAAAAAAAAGAAAAAGAAAGCTGAATTATAATAGCGGACTAACGCTATTGTAAGAGAGTAAGGTACACGCGCATGGGGGGACACGGTACCCCCGGGTGTACCAGATAATTTGCCTTTTTTTCTATCCGATTATTCTCAAACGTTTGTATTTGACGTCTATCTAGATTTGCTTTTGTCTTTTATCAATTATTATTCAATCCAACTAATCTGGTCTAGATCTCTATCCTCTCCAAGAGACATGGCAAACCAGGAATCAAAAGAAACCGTATTAGGGGTTATAGTAGTAGCGGAAACCATGGCAGATGGGTTTCTCAAGCAATATTATGAACATTTACATAAAACACTTGAGTCGCTGCACGGGTTCGTGTTGAGTCATCAACAACGACAACAACAGTTGATGGTATAAAGAAAATAATCATGTCTTCGGATTTCAAGGGCTGCGAGGTTAAGGTTGTGAAGGTTGATGCTCAATTTTCTCTAAGGGAGAGTGTCATCGTGACAGCTATTGGTTGTTTACTCGGGAAAGACAATATCAAAAGGGTCATCTCCCAAACATTCTTTCTTGCCAAGCAAGAGATCGGATGGTTCGTCTTGAATGATAACTTTCGCATAATATATGCACAAGGGATTTTGAATATTTCCTTTGGTTGTAAAGACGGTGTTTTGTCCCCTCAAGTGCCGGAACACACAAATGTTCCGATTGAAACAAAATCAGTAAACAAAGTCGCGATGCCTGCTGAAACTAAGCATAGTATTGAGGAAACCCTAGAAGTCCAAATTACTGATGTTCCGAAGGACCCAGACACCTCTAATGAAACTGGGAAAGTTGAGGGCCAGAAAATGTCCTATGCATCCGTGGTAATAAAAGAGAGAGAACCGACATCTTTTACCTCTAATCTGTTAGAAATGAGCTATTAATATGAATGAGAATTACTTTCTTATAGATTGGAAAAGTTGAGTTTATGCTATCGGAGTTAGCTTAACTCATGTATGTGCCCGACTTGCAGACACAAATGTCGGACCAAACTCTCGTGGACCTGATCAACCCACTTTTGCTCTGTCTCAAATTAATTTTTCAGTCAAATAATAAAGAAACTTTTGCTGCTAGAATTCATTCCAAACGGTTTTCATTTAATCCGAATTTGACCGGATTGATTACCAATGGTTATGAGGGTGTTAATGAATATAATATTTCATTTAGCACAGGAATTAATTTGCTGCAATAAAATTGACCGTTTCAGTTTTGAATTTGTAGGATTAATTCATTTAAATGAGTAGAATAAATGGTTGAGTGGTTACAAATATTTAAACATTTGACTCACAATTATTCAGCTACAATTAAAGTGAATTAACATGAGAAAACCATCGGATTTTTTGGCTGAATTCAAAAGGTCTCTAAATTATATAAATAGTGGCTGATTTGTTTAATTCTAGGTAACCCAATTTCTTCATCAATGTTGCCTTAGTTTTTTCTTCCTCTTCCTTGGTGCTCATCAAATATTTTCTAAGTTCCAGTTCGTCGGTGGAGCTACTTAGTGCTAAGTAGTTTTCACGTTTCTCCGTTGTATCCTGGGAAACAATTGCCCACAATCCTCTAGCACCTTAGGAGGGGGCAAATATGTTTTAAGGAAATCGTGTCTTCACGAGCCTCGGATTTTCTTATTTTTTAAAGATGTCATTATACATCACAAATACCGCATTCAATTTTTCCAACATAATCGTCCTCCTAAAATAGTTAGGGTTGCGCCAAACCAACAATCAACTGTATCTCCCAAATCAAATATTGCTAAAAGGACAAAAGAGCAAACTTCTGATTATGCTCAAGGTTCTATTACCAGAAACAATGTGGCTTCAAGAGATTCCAGAGCTAGATCCATTTATATAGAAAACCTGCCCAAGGACATAACAAAAGACGAACTGGCCGAAGCAGTGAAGGTCTTCGGGGTAGCAAGGCCATCTGGCTTTCAGATCAGAACATGTCCTTTCGATGGATTCTGTTTTGGATTCGTGGAATTTGAATCTGAAGTTTCAGCGAAAAGTGCAGCTGAGGCTCGCAAGCTCACTATTAAAGGTTCTGACGCCCGGATTTCGATAAAAAAATCTGGCACCAAAGGAACAGGTGGGGAGTTTCGGTCTAGAAACTTCAGAGGCCAAGACAAAGGGAAGGTTACTTCTAACGGGAGCTCTTTTGACGATAATGGCGAACGTGGTTATGACCGTCAAAACAGAGAATTCGGTGAAAGGAATAGCGAAAGCCGTGAAGGAAGAGCTTACGGAGGAGAAGGGCATCCCAAGAACAAGGGAAGGAATAGAGGACACCAGAAAAATGGTCAGGTACAGAATGGTGGAGGAAGTAATAGCCGAGCAAATTCAGCTGCTAAAGCTTGATATATTGACATTCCAGTATGTTTTATCAGACAACTTAGAAATTAGAACATTATTTCCTTCCACTTAGTGTGGGAAATTTTGGCGCATGTTGTCATTCCAATTCATGATAATTGAGTTATTGTTTTTGATATATATTACACACTCGGCTTTCGAGTAATCTATTTTTAGTGTGTTCATTGCCGTTCATTTGCGGAATTGTTCAATTCTTCGTTATCGAAGCACTTAAAAAAAAAAAAAAAATACAAACAAACAAACAAACAAAAAACAGAAGAACCCATGTCGCTACGCAAGAATTAATGCGCACCTGAACTTGTACTCTATGAACCTGAAAGACCCCTGAGAGATAGCTTAATATACAATCAATGACTTTGTAATTACAGAGCGCAATATTTTTCATTCTTAATAATCTCCAGCACTTGAAGTTGTAATTGCTGTATAGGGGTTGGAAACCTTTTTATTGATCAGTACTCAGAAAGGAATTGCCTCGCATCTCAACTCAGCTCGTTAAGATTATTCTTTTTCTTCTTTTTTAAGCCCCGAGTGAGTAAATTGTACTTGAAATAACAAGAAGATAGAAGTGTGTAATGAAGAATTTGCTTGATGATATATTTAGAAGGCATTTTTATACATTAATATATTTTTTGAAACTTTAACTAGTAAAAATAAGCTGACTCTTCGTCCTATATAAGTGTTTGGTTTGGCATTATGTTAAATAAATAGTTCAACAAACTTGAATAGACTTTGGGAGTAAAAAATTTATATGTTGTGAAACTACTTTTCTCATAAATAATTCAGTTAATCAATTAAATTAGATACCAAAAGAAGAAACTAGCTTTTATACTGCACAATTTATAGATAGTAAAGAATCAGTAGTAACCATCTTCAAAACTATTATAATCTTCTTCCTATTAATATTTATTTTGAATGTCGTACATTGTACCTCTAACTACCTTTGCTTGTAACATGTAGTAAATAAAATTTATAAACTTATTCTCTCCTTTTCGAAAAAGTTATCGTGTTATTCTTTGTACTCTCGAGGGAACACTATGTATCAAAATCGATATAATAATGATACGAGAAGTGTTATAAACTTTTATTCACTGTTATAAGGTTCTAATTGCATAAACACATTGACGCAGTGAAATAGAGAAAATGATTTCTTGGTATCTTTTCTCCCGGGCAATCTTTTTTTTTTTGTGTGTGTATGTGTTTTTTTAGCAACTGTAGAAATTTTTACTCTAATGCCTAATGTTGCATATCATTTCGATGACCTATATAACTGGTCAGTTGATGATTATCTTTGATTGTAATTTTGACTTGAAATTTACAGCTACTTTGATCCAAAAGACTTCGACATGAGACAAGCCTATTTGGTTGCTTGGAAAATTGAGGAAAGTAAAGTGAACATTCCTTAGATTTTAATTAAGAGAGAAGTTAATATTTTAATGTACTTTATGATTCCTAAGAATATGATTATGGAGAATCTAAATACTTTCCTATGTTTGTATACATGTTTGGAAAAAGACTTGAAAGTGAGATTTTTTTTTAATCTTTTTTTTTGGTTGCCTATAAACCTCCAACATGCCAGTTTTGAATTTCATTTCAAAATCTTGAAACTATTTTGATAAATAGTCTAGTTTTATTTGGCCAAATCAAATATTTTAATAATTAATAATGTAAAAAGATCATTGTTTGTTTCCTAACTATTAGAAATATCATTACAAGAAAAAAAAGACTTATCATTACGATTCATATTGCAAACTAAATTAGACTAAATTAATTTTTAAAGAATTTTAAAAGTCAATGTAAGCTCTTTTAAATTAAATCATTTAATTAATAAATAAATTATTTGTTAATTTTTTGAAATTGAGAATTTTGATATTTTAATATTATGGTAATTTTAAAATGAAAAAATTGAGAATACATTTTTAAATCAAAATTAATTATAGATAATTTTATATTGGACGATATAAATTCATTATAATGACTAATTTATCTGATCAAATAAGTGTCAATTTGAAAATAGAACATGAGTAAATAAAAAAATAAATGATTTGTATGATAAAAAATGGTATGAAGATTAGACATAAAAAAATGTATAAAAGTTTAGAATCCAAAGGAAAGTAAAAAGAATAATAGCTTTTAGGTGGCTAATCACAATCATGAAATTTTGCACTTATTTTCTTTGACTTTCTTTGACTTTGGGAATCTTTTTGCTTTCCTATAACTAAACAAAACATTGGAATTTAATAATTAGGAAAATGATTACTTTTTTTAACAAAACAAACATGAAAATTAAATCCCACCTAGATTCCAAGACAACCAAACAGTCCCAAAAGTGATTTTGTTGGGCAGATTTTTGCACCACTTTTGCACAAACAAATAATCGACTAATAAACCATTTGTAGAATGGAAAAATGAGTTTTTTTTAAGAAACAAATTTTTATGCAATAATACAATGATATAATTCTTAAATTTTGGGGCCTTTCTACCTTAGGGGAGCCTAAAACGATGGTTTCTCTTGCTTTATAGAAGAGCCGACCCTGGTACTTACCACATCATCGATCAGTATTGTTTTGAAATAGTAAAGACATGTATATGTGTCAAAGATACTATATGTACATCTATATGGTTGTAAGTTTGTCCATGGCTTGTCACGGGTTAAGAAACTAAACAATTTCCTTGCAAAATGTCAGAGTAAGCCTCTTTATAAATATCCCTCTAGTAAAAGGAAGTCTTTTAGCACCTATTATGTTTAACTTTTATTTCAGTATAAGTATATGCATTGATTATAATGGTAGAAGTGAGACTTGGATATTGAGGGAGAAGAAAAAGAAAATCCTCACTACTTATTGAAACGGAGGGAAAGAAGAAGAAAAAGAAGAAAAGCATTAAATTTTCGATTTGAATAATAATTTTTAGGTTTCAACAATTTTAAGATTTTATTATCAGAAATTGGAAAGGGAAATTGATTGGTATGGATTGAAATTGAAGAAAAAGAAATTGGAAAGGGAAATTTGTTAATAGTACATGATTGTGGAGAATTTAGCATAGACATATTTCGATTCTTATGACCAATGTTTACGGACCCACCATGCTGTGCCCCTCTGAGGCCGTGATTTTTGTGGAGATTTTCTGAACTGGGAAGTTGTTGAGCGCCCTAATTTTTTTCTTTGAGCGCACTAAAAAGAATTAAAAAGATTATTTTACCCTTATTATATACTTTTTTTCAAAAAAAAAGTGAAGGGACGACGTATTTTTGCGCCAGCCTTTCACGGCTGGCGCAGGAGAAAAGCGCAACCCATTAGAGGGTGGCGCTCAATTTTTTGGAAGGCGAGAAAAATTTTCGCCAGCAAAATGGGGGTTGCGCACAAATCTGGCGCCAACCCTCTCAGTTTGGCGAGCGTTTTGCTCGCCAAACCGAAATAACCTTTTTTTTAAAATTTTTTATTTTTTAATTAATTTATTTAATTAGTTATTTAATTCATTTACTTATTTAAGTTTATTTTTTATTTATATATTTGTTGGTTAAACAAATAACTTTAACTTAAATATTTGACTTTATAATAGTATAAATTAAAAAATTAATTAAATAATTAAATGAATTTTATATTTTTTCTATGCTTTTTAATTTTTCATTTCAACGTATTTTATATTTTATATTTTTTTCCAAAAAATATTTCCAGGACGGCGAGATGCACCGATGATAAATAAATAATTTGTTTGGTAGTAAATTCATAAGTTTTAGTTTTTATTAAATGATAATCTTTTGTTTAGGTTTAAAAAATTTTACATAACTAAATGATAAATTTTTATAAAAATTTACTATGTAATTATGCAACATTCTCCAAATATTTAAGTTAAAATTATTTATTTAACCGCCAATCAAATAAATAAAAAATAAAATTTAATAAATAAATAAACTACATGAATTAAATAACTACATAAATTAAATAAATTCATTAAACTAATAATTTAAATAAATAAATGAAATTAATTAAATATATTAAAAAATTAATTAATTACATTAAAAATTAAGGTAAATTTGTACCAAAAAAATAAAAAAATAATTAAAAAAATTAAGGTGAATGGCGCACAAAATGAAAAACTGAATTTTATTTTTATTTTTATTAATTTTTAATTACACTCTAGTCCTGCATTGGATGAACTCGTCAAGCCCTTGTTAAACAAATGAACCGTGCAAGAAAACCATTAAGCGAATGAACCCCTCGATTTTTAATTGAATATGAGGGGAATAAGTCCACGTGACAACAAAATTTGTTCGCAAAACTTTTAAGATTAATCTTAGTCAAAAACACAAAAAATACATGGGAAAAATCAAAAGTATTATTAAGGGCATTGGTAGTTTTTATTTTTTAACATGAATATTGAAATAACTTTTTATATCTTTTAAAATTTTAAAAGACAGGTTTACCCTTTTCCAACTAACTACTGTAACTCTTTATTTTTTTCCGTTTTTTTTCTCCCTCCCCTATTTTTTCGTCATCTCCTCCCTCACTTACTGAACCTGTACATGACTCCCTCCAAATGTATGGTATTATTCTTATCCTAATTCTTAAATTTTCCAACAATTTGACGTTCATGATTTAGTCTATAAGACTGTCTAATTTAAATCAAATAGTAGAGCCTGTAACTTCAGAAAACTTCAAAACAAACATTGAATTATACCAATTCCGCCAATAATTTCACTGTCAATAGAAATCTTGTTGAATCTTTTTTTAATTTCCCAATAATAACTCCATAGTCAAAGAATTAAACAAAAGAAATCTATTCGAAACTAACTCAACCATTCAATTGGAAAATTAACCAGGGAAAGTTACTTTGATTTGATGACTTTATTTCCGGCGGAAGTTCGTTGAATTTCCGGTAGCTGCAATCCCTTTTTTTACGAAAATTAGGGCTCTCACCGCATGTTTCAGTATTGAATTTCAAGAACAGAAACCATGGAAGCTAAAATCTGAAAAGCGAAAACGACAAAA